TTAGACGCAATTTAAAATGTATATTTCATAATATAGTTTTATTTTATGATTTATTCCTATTTATAGAAGCATACGATTTATTGTAGATTATTTTTATATACAGTGAGTGTAATAAGTATTTTGCCTCAATACGAATTTGACAAAATTCCAATGTATACGTCAAAAGCCAACATATTAAAGATGTAAATTTAATTATGATTAATTAGATCTTATTTCTGCAAAAATCACTGCGAAAGACCTATTGGTCTTGAAGATATCGGCTAAAATCTATAACAACCCAAAAATGTTTATCTTGTTTTGTTGTCGCTGTAATTTACAAACAGCTACACAGACTTGTCAATGTTCCTTCGAAAAGCCGACGTCTATTGGGATACAAATGTAGAATATATCATATAGTCGGCCCAGTCCGACTTTACTACTTCCCTCACTGGTTAGAATTAAGTATCAGAGGACAAAAATCAGCTATAAAGTTTTTATATCTGTTGAATATGTACTGAGATATAGAGCTCTAAAAAAAGTGCCGAATGGTCCCCACTCTCCTCTATATGGCGTCTTTGGCAATATTACTGACATAAATGTTAGGAATATTTTTATCATTAACCCTCAGTCGAATCTCTGAAATGGTCTTTTTGTCCCCTTTTCCAGAAATGATTGAAAACTTATTTAAGACGGGGTTATAGAAGGTCCGAATATTCTACAACATGTAAAAAAGTGTCAGTCGGTATTGCCGATAGATACATACCCTGAGCCAATGGCTTGCGAAGATCTTCGGAGTTAAATAAAAGATTTTATTATTCGTTTTTAAAGAGTATATGTTTTTTTTTATCAAATATGTTTCGAATTTACTGTTGATCAAATCGGTTATTCAATTAGTTTTAAATTTATAATACAAGTTTATAAAATATTGACCCTTGTGGGAGAGGTACAAGAAGGAGAGGGCAGACAGGTCCCACTTTTTTACTTGATCTAGGCTTGGTAAAGATAGATCGGGCTGAGTTAGGTTCAAATCGGACATTAGATTTGTGAATATTGAAAATTTTGACCATTTGTGGGGGAGTTGACAGAAGGATTGGACCAATGGGTCCCATCTTCGGGCATAATCTAGACTTAGTAAAGATAATAGGTTGAACAAAATGTGTTTCAAATCGGTTAGTCCGTTCGCATGATATTATCAAATTAATTTTTAGCACAATGTTGACCATTTTGTGGGGGAGGTATCAGAAGGAGTGGACCGATATTCCCCATATTCATAATAATATTAATAATAATTAATATTACGCACGATAACTCCCAACCTGCAAGACAGACGGACGGACGGACCTTTGTAAATCGATTCCAAATTGTCTGATTAAACACATATTTGACGTATCATTAGCCCTAAGGCCGAGGGAAATAAATGTTTGCATACCGAATATATAGACGTCAATTTAGGACAAAAGATCCAAAAATAGTAGAAATTTTGTATGAACGTATGAAACTTAATTTTTCGTGGATAGTGTCAAATAATGAAATATTATACGTCAAATTTCACTATGAGTTTCAATACAAACTATATTTAAATCCAATAGTTATTTTTATACCCTACACAACTATGTTGTCAGGGTATTATAGCTTTGTGCAGCCCCAAAAGTTTGTAACGCCGCGAAATATTGGTCCTAGACCCACCTTTAAGTATACCGATCGTCATATCTCGACTAGCTGAGTCGATCTAGACATGTGTGTCCGTCCGTCCGTCTGTCCATTATAATTTGTAAACACGATACAGGCCATAGTTATGGACCAATCTTCACGAAATTTTGCATGTAGGATGGGTTCTGGCCAATGAAGACCCCTATTGTTTTTGTGAAAGATCGACCAAATACAAAATTTTTGTCGGTTTTTCTGGTCGCTCCAGAGGCCGCAATAATGGCCCAAACATTGTGAAATTTTCCATGGAGAAGGGGATTAGACCAAAGAATAAGCATGCCTGTCCAAGATCGGTCAATATTTAGCGGGTCAAATGGACCCTGACTTTTGTGTGAAAAATGACAAAATTTGTATTCTTTAGCGTATATATTTACCCCTGAAGGACATAGACCCGAGAAGTTTATATTATATCTAAGAGGAGTGGTTGACCTTTAAATTAATACCAATTATATTTTTGTATGTGCTCGGATGTGGGAGTTACACCAAAATATTTACAGGTATCTCCGTAATTCGTATATTATTTAGTAACCCATTATCACTCTAGAGAGCGGAACAATATCGCTGATTGCTTTGAAATGTTCCATGAGGTTCCAGTTATGGTCAAGGACAACGCCTATAATTTTCGGTGATGATCAGATAATAATTTTGGAATGAAGTGGACCGAAAACTTAATTTTTTGTGTTATTATCGAGTCGATCTATAGACCACAAATGAACATCGCAACACAACCCACGGTGAAGGGAATCTGGACAATAGCTGTACTGAATACTCGTAATATTCGGAAAATATGTCAGTGTGAGGAACAGGTGCTGTTTACCACTAATCGGGCAAGAGGGTGCAAATATCACGAAATTTTGCCCAGGCTCGGAATATACATCCGCAGAAAATTTGAGATCCGTGGTAGTTGTGTAGGGTATCGTATGGTCGGCCCCGTCCGACTATACTGCTCCGCTCACTGGTTTTAATTTAGAAATTAACAATATTGGCAGTGTGTGTTAATTAGACACTTTTGCAGAAATGTGTCAAAATTTTCAATAAGAATACATACATCACAAGAGTATTTCGTCGAATTTCACTATTAGCTGCAAAAAAAAAGATTCTTGTAAACTCGATATTTATGTGTAAAAAATATCTTTAATTTGGCTATATACAGGAAATTTTTTATTTTGATCAAATTTCGCACTTTTTCCAAATAAATTGGATTTTCTAATAAATAAACGATTTCGAGAAATCGTAATCCGAATATTTTCAAATGTCTTGGAAATGGGAAATATTGCTACGCCTTTTTAGGTTACCTCTAGACGTAAACTTTCAAAATGCCGATACACGTTTTTTTAGACTCTCTATCATAATTTCTTGAAATTTCCCGATAATTTTCAAGTCACGTCTGGTTAAATGAAAACTGATCCGTATACCAGTTTTGTGTAGAATATGTCATATATCTGAACTACATGTTCTCTGTAGCAATCACCCTTTATGCAGTATATTATCAATATATAGATTAACTAGCTGACCTGGCAAACGTTGTTTTGCCTTATTAATATTGCATCAATATTAGGTTGATAAAAAAACATTTGCCACTAAGTTTAGTTTATAATTTGCTACAACTTATTTCACCATTTTTTTTTTAATAGAGGATCATGTTTTGTTATTGCGTTTTTTACATTATCTTATTCGACGCTTCTTGAAGGATCATGCCAAACTGTCCTTTTGATTTTTATATTGAAATCAGTATATAACTCGAAAAAAATCTCACAATTAGTTTGCATATTTTCCTATTCTGACCACATACGATTTATAAGTCCTTTGAATCGCCAAAATTGGTGCAGACGTTCTTGAGTTATAAACTATGTAACTAACACAACGTTCGATTATTCCAATTTCCCGACTTTTTTGGTGTTTTTCTCAACATTTTCTTCGTAATAAACTTCCTAATGCAATTACAAACAGCCGAAGGAAACGTGAGTGAAATCGGCCCACTCAATACACCATGCAAACATTATTCACATCTTTAAAAATACATTTGAGAAACCATAAAGGCACATATCGACGCCTCCGAACCATAGTATGCTAAGTCGACTTAACATGTTTTAAAGTTCTTTACGTTTTTAGATACTACGGCCCTTAATTTATATTCTCTGAAATTTTGGTAATCATCGGCCAATCCAAACCAAAGTTATAAGCAAAAATGTACTTAGCATGGCCCGTAAGATATATGAAACTTCCAAACTTTAAGAGCTTCTACTGAAAAACTCACTTTTCAGACTTAGCATACTATGGTTCGGACGCGTCGATATAAGTTAGACACAAACCGCATGTAATGCGGAATTGCCTTTATGTATGATTCGAATTTAAATGTATTCTTCCCGAATATAAGAAAATGTTCAATAATACCTTCGTATTTTGTTGACGTATTTGTAATCGTATATAGCGAATTACTAATATCATTGAACTGTATTGAATACTGTACTGTATTGAATACGTTGATAGACGTTTTCGTATTGGCAATTTTCTCAAAAATATTCCTGGTGTTGTTTCCTATTAAAGGCACGATCAAGTTTCTGTCAGTGGCCCAGATATCACATCGGATATGTGTTGCATTTATAAGTTCAAAACAATTTGCTCCATTATTGTGCGCTTTTAAGCATCCTTATCCTAAAGTAATTGGAATGTAGTAACAAAATATCGATTTAATTGCCTTTAATTCGGTATTCTCCATAGGGTTAGAAACTTCCCTCATAATTGCCAGTATAGTTTTTGCTATAGGCTCCACATAATGGAACCGCTTAATCTTAATGTCTTACAACCTATACATACCATGCAAATTGCTTCACATAACTTAACTTATATTTTCAAACTCAATAAATCTCGATTTTATGGAAAACGTGAGCAAATAATGATAGCGATTAATCATACTCTCTCTTTTGGATTTCTTATTATTAAATTTAACTCTAATGAAAATATAAATTTATTTTCATATACAATAGTTTTTTCAAGGCAATGGTAATCCTATTTTGAGAATTTTCCATTGACAAATACTTAAAGATATACGCTGCCCGTTTTCACCCAAAATATGTCAAAAAAGAACTACGAAGAGATGAAACCATAAAGATTCGACATAAAATAATTTACAAAATCAACTATTTCTTTATTTAATTAAAAAAAAAAAACAAATTCCAATATTACTAACTTTAAAAGTAAAAAAAACTAAACTACAACAAAATCAATTCGAATTTTATAAAAACTATAAGGAAACATAACAAATTATCTACATTCGAGTTCGCCTGTTTGTTAGTATCTACACAAAATCAAAATTAAAGTTTTCCTTGCTGAATCATTAAATTAATTTTCTCATATATCCAATCAATGTATTTCTCAACACGAACATAGACACCGGGATGATTGGCATAGCCGCAATGTTGACCCCATGAAATTATGCCATACAAAGTTTCACCACCTACAACAAAAATAAAAAACAAAAAATAAGTTTGAAAACAAAAAACATTTTTTTTCAACGCATACTAACCCTCGTCAGAGCAAACCAAGGGTCCACCCGAATCACCATCACAGGCATCCACATTTTCATCCAAATAGCCGGCACAGAACATACCTTCACTCATGGCATTGCCGTAGACATTTTTGCGGTGACACACATCGTCCGGCAGAATGGGAACTTCGGCTGCCCTTAGAATGTTGGAGGGGGCTGGAGAAGGAGAAGAATATTGTTATTCACTTCATTTTTTTCTTAACATTCACCCCTCAACACTTACTTGATGTGCCCGATTTAATGGAACCCCAACCAGATATTGTACACATGCGATTCGCCTGCAACAGCGAACCCTTTTCGGGTAGACAAATAGGCTGTACGTAGTCATTGAAACGCAGGGCATTCTTGAGCAGAATCAATGCAATGTCATTGTTCATGTGTTTCTCTTCACGGAATCGTTCGTGTATATACCAATTTTCAATGTTCGAATCAATTTCCGATGATTCGGCAATATTGGCATAATGGTCACCCACACGTACAAAATACGAACCCTTCGGATAACCGGCCAAACAATGTGCGGCCGTTAGAATTAACTTCTTGGAAATGATGACAGCACCACACCAATGACTGGAGATACCCCCACGACCACGTGTACGTATGGTTGCCTGCCATGGGTGGCGACCACGCTTGGCAATACTGCCATTTATTACACGCTCTTCGGGGTGGGCATATTCATCGATCAAATTCATCTTGAAATGGCCACATTGTTTGGGTTGATGTACCGCCTTACTGGACCTCTGCCAGAGGCCTTGATATTTTCCCAAATCATCTAATTCCAATAGTTCGGAATCTGTATCTATGCTCGCTGTTCTCGTCTTGGGTGTGGTGGTCACAACGGGGCGGATAATTGTGGGTTTCGGACCAGCTGTACATTTTATACCAACATCTTCGGTATGTTGACAATTATTTTCACCCCAAGTCCAGTGATTACATTTATCCAGGGTGGTCTCATTGCCCAGACAAGAAACTTGATCCAGCCAAATGGGTCCACTACCGGGGCCATATATGTTTTTGGCTACTTGCTGTAGAAAGAGAGCGTAAAATCGGAAGAGATTATTTATATTGTAATATCTAACATAAAAAGTCGGCGAAGCTGGCCGGAAGCTCCACTATAAGGTTCGCATTCAAAGTGTTTAAAATCGATCGATATCTTTATATAGCTCTTTTATCTGATATATTTATATTAGAACATGAACCTATATTTAAAATAGTCTGGCAGGTATAAAAAAACACTTGCCAGATAAGATGAAATACCAAATAAAAGGCTCTTAGGTCTGAAAATCTACACAGTTACGCAGTGGCTACATATGAGGAGATATTTAAAAACGTACTTTCTTGCGGACAGGAGCTATATATGGAGGATATGTCAATACATGGACCTATAACTTTTAGCTAAAATAACCGAGTACTTAAAATGTGGAAAAAAATTCTCTAATACTTTTAAAAGACGAAAATCGGCCAGGACTTTTATATGGTCATTGTATAAAAACATGAACCATTATGGGCCGTTATATACCATTCTCTGTACCCAACATCTTAAGGAATGTATGTGCGAAATTTCAAAGATCTGTTGTGATTTTAATGGCCATATCGACATAGAATTTCCAATATATGAGGTTAAATATAGCCTTCACCTTATGGTAGGACCTACTTACCGCCTTGCCATAGAATCCCAACGAATTGCACACAACCTGAGCTTCCTTTTGGCCAAAATCATCATCACACACAGTACCCCATTCACCACGATAGAAAATCTCCAAACGTCCCTCGTTCTTGGAACGGCCACCTTCCAAACGATATTCAATGGGGGCCTGAAATTAAAAACAACACTCAACCCCATTCCCATTCAATATTACAAAAATCCATGCTTACATTACAAACTTGTGGACTCTCATCGGAACCATCACTGCAATCCGGTGTAACATCACACAAAAATGCCGTCGGTATGCACTCTTCCGATTTCGTACATAGCCAATAATTATCGGGACATTTGAGTTGTTGTACCTTACAGACAACACCCACAACTTCATCAGGTCCACAATTGTTAACACCCCAACCCTTGAAATCACATTCACGCAGCGAAGTTTCATTGCCACGACATTCCACTTCATCCATATTGAAGGCAACATTTGTACCGGCTGGCGGGTAAAATGAACTGCCACGTACCTCAATGGCACCCATTTTGAAACCTAATTCACGGCAAACAACATCGGCATCCTTGAGACCGAACTTGTCATCGCACACATAACCCCATTTTCCCAAGACTGTCAACGAATGGGGGAGAAATTTATTAAAAAATACATATCAGATTTCGGCAATCATTTTCAAATACTCACTTTTAACTTCGACACGTCCTTTGTTGGAACTTTCACCACCAGTCAAACGCACCTCATAGCCCAAGTGATCGCATTGTTCTTCATCTTTGCGATTGCCGCAATTGTTAACGCCATTGCAAACCTGAAATAAAACAATTGGGCATGTCAGTTAGCATAAATTAAAATTGCGATTTGGTGTGGTGAAAACCGAACTTAGTATTAGCCACCGTTTCATGGAAAAATTCTCTGATTTCAGCCTGTTCTACTACCTGTAAATTCAAATTCTTAGCACCCTGAACTAATGGATAGAAATATATTTAGACCATACATTAACCGTTCCAATACTTTCGGGATATTAGAACGAAGGGGTTAAGATCAGGATACGATAATGAATAGTATTTCACAAATGCCCGACCTAGTGATTGATAAAATTGCACATGACTGGCTGTTACAGTATCGGAACCATAAACACTATTCACAATTTTAGCCACTTGGCTTACATTTTGACCTTTGTCATCTTTCTTTACATATAACAGCATCGCCCATAATGGATAATACCATTTCCTACATGTTGAAGGTATAGCCTAATTTTACCAACGAAATGGCTTAATATTTAATTTGGGTAATTTTGAAGGTTTAGCCTAATTTTCCCAACGAAGTGGCTTGATATTTAATTTGGGTAAATTTGGGTTCTTGGAGAGTTAAAACCCTGTTTGGCGAAAATTTTCGACAAGGGTCCAAGTTATGACATAGCCCCCTAAATATGAGGTTATAGTCTCATTTTTCCACCAAAGTGGCTGCGGGTTTTGGGAGGGTGATGGACATCTTTGAATTCAATACAGGTCCATGTTTTAACATAACCTTGCCCGTTATAGGTGTTATTATGATTTTAAACGATTTCTTCAACCGCAAATCGTTACATTTCCGATTTCTTTGTAGGCAAAATGCTTCTTCACAGAAAATTGTCAGAATAGGTCCAGGTTTTGAAATACCCCCTATAAAGGTTTCGACCTATTTAAGTATTTTTAATGTTATAGCCCTATGTTTCAACCGAAAGAGCTGTAATTGGTCATTCCGCGTTCTTGGTTGTTCAAAAACTTCTTCACAGAAAAATGTCAACATAGGTTCATTTTTCGGAATAACCTCCATATAAAGGTCGCGCTTTTTTATAGGTATACTCATGATAATATGCACATTTGCCAATGGACAATATTCAGCTCCTTACTGAAACAAAAACAAAAAATTTTCAGAATAGATCCATATTCGATAATAAGATCTGTCCCGCTTTTAGTTATATTTATTATTTTATCCGATTTTTTTCAACCGAAGGGTTATCATTTCGCATCCGTAGTTCATGCCAGGTAAAAACTTATTTCCGGAAAATTGTCGAATATGTCCATGTTTCAACCGAAAATTGTTAGCATAGGTCCATGTTTCGCAATAGCCTCCACGCGTCCTTTGTTAGTCCCGTCCTTTGTTAGTTATTTGCATGATCATAGGCGCAGTTTCCAGTCGAAAATATTCCGCTTCTAGGCTTATTTGCAACAGAAGTGATATAATAATAATTCCGCTTTCAGGTTCTTGGGGGTTACAAAACATATGCGTAAAAAAATGTTTCCCATTTTTGGCATATCTCTTCCAAACTTAGTTCACAAAATGGTTAAAATTGTACAAAAAAATAGTATAAAATCATCGATTTGACCCACAGCCTATTATATTTACCAAGCCTAGATCAAGTAAGGAGGTGGGACCCATTGGTCCACTCCTTCTGGTACCTCACCTACAAATGGTGAAAAATGGTCAATATTTACAAATCCAATAATAGTCGATCGGTAAGTACGATTTGAACCAAACTATGTACAACATATTATATTTGCCAAGCCTAGATAAAGTCCGAAAATGAGACCAATTGATCCACTCCTTCAGGTACCTCCCCACAATTGTTTAAAATATTAAATATTTATAAATTGAATATTAGAACCTTTTATCTTTACCAAGCCTAAATCAAGTCCGAATGTGGGGCCCTCTGCTTCTGGTACAAATGGTCAAAATTTTCAATATTTATAAATGTAATATCAGACAAACGGACTATCCGATTTGAAACTTTGCTTAACCTATTGTTTTTACCAAGCCCAGATCAGCCGAAGGTTAGAGCCGTCGGTGCCCTCCTTCACATATGGTCACTATTTTATAAACATCTAAATTTATTTTCAAGCGAATTGAATAACCGATTGTATCAACATTTACTCCGAAACCTCTTTGATAAAAACATATACCTGTGTGATTCCGAACGCCTCCGCAAGTCATAGTCTTAGGGTATATATCTGTCGGGAATACCAACTGACACGTTTGGTATTTCATTCTGTCGGAATATAAAAAACCTATTAGCAGATTATTTACCAATTTTAGGTATTTTGAAATCCCACCTTATGGTGAAAGCTATAGAAAGATCGACAGCCCACTTATTTGGCCCAAGGACGAAATTGAAATTGAAAAATGGAATTGAAAAATATAGATATATGTAGCTCCCATATATAGGTTTGTCCAACTCACCCAAGTCAAAATGTTTGACCGATTGGCACAAAATTTTACACAGCCTACTGAATTAGGTGCAGATTGTCGTTTTTGTCCGATTCCATGTAAACTGTGTTCCGATTTTATATAAATGGTGCACGAATGTTCCTATATGTCATTCGATTTGTACGAAATGTTGCATAGCATAGTTAACTAAGTGTGAATTTATGTGTGCTAAGTTTCGTAAAAATCGGTTCAGATTTAGATATAACTCCCATATATAGTTTCATCCGTTTTTAAGTCAATGATGCACCAAAGATCCAAAGTTAAACCGACTGGCACAAAATTTTGCACAACGTACCGAAGTTACTACAACATAACGTGTTTCAAGTTTTGTTGAAATCGGTTCAGATTTAGATAAAGTTCCCATATATATAGTTTCGTCCGATTTTTAGTAAATGGCGCACCAAAGACCCAAAATTAAGCGATAGTCCGATTAATAAGAAATTTTGCGTAACGTATTAAATTGAGTCTATAATAACGTGGGTTTAGTTTCCTGGAAATAGGTTCACATTTAGATAGAGCTCCGATATATACTTTTCTCGTCCGATCTTATTTAAATAGTGCACGAAAATCCCTATATGACTTTCGATTTACAGGAAGTTGTGTATAGCGTATTGATATTTATATAGAATGATGTGTGTTGAAAGTTTCGTTGAAATCGTTTCAGATTTAGATATATCTCCCATGTTTATTTTCGTCCGATTCTCTGCAAATGGTACACTAAACTCCCATAGATTATCCAATCCAGACAAAATTTGAAATACCTTTTTTCGTATGTTTAAAATGATGTGTGAAAAGTTTCGCGAAAATTGGTCTAGTCTTAAATATAGCTCACATGTATATGTTCGTCCGATTTTATGGTTAACGGTACACTTAAGTCCTAATGTTTGTCAAATTAAGACGAAATTTGCATTGAGTCTAAAATGACGTGTGTTAAGTTTTGTTCGGTTTCGATTTTGATATAGCTCCCTTATATATTCTTCTGATTTCATCTAAATGGTGCACCAAAAATTATCATTTAGTCAAAAACTATCATATAGCAATGACATTTTTCACTATATCCTAACGTACCCTAGAATAAGAATCTTGGGATCATCACTTGTATATTACCAAAGTAGTGAAGGATATTATATAGTCGACCCCTTCCGACTTTTGAGCTATCCCTACTGGTTTTGGAATTTTAAATTATTTCATTTTCAGTTTCTCGAAGCATAAAAAAATCGCCATACTTACCTCATGCTGAGCAATACATTTGCCATTTCCACAATTAAACGGACAGCTATTGTCATTCATGCGCACATCAATGCCCCGGGAGGATTCAAAAGGATCATCGAAAGGATTCGGTAAATTGGGATGTTTTTCGTGGAAATCACGTGAATGTTGGTGATGATGTTTCGAGGAACTGGGGATATGCTGATGATGTTTATGCCAATTGTTTGTCTGATCATGATCGGAATGGGTAGAACGTTGAGATTCTACGGTGGTATGTTGGAAATCATAAAATGTACCCGATTTATGACCACCACCACTGCCAGGTTGGACAGACGTGGTGGTAACTAAACTATGCTGTTCACCTGCAAGTATAAGTTCAACATCAACGTCTTGAGGGGTGCTTGTTAGTGGGGGTGTAGGTGTGGTGGTAACACCATGCGCATGCAATGGATTGGATGAATGAGTGGTGGTAGTTAATTCTTCGGGATGCCTATCTACGGGTGCTACTAAATTCATGATATGGGATTCTGCTTTGGCGGCCAGGTTTTCATCCATGCCACCACTACGATTTAAATAGGGTCTCAGCATTAATTGCAGAGCCTCTTTAAGGGGTAATTGTTCAGGATTAATGACCTCCTCTTCCCCGTCCTGATGTTCCGAATTTGGTTTTTTGGAAATGTCTAAACGATTTGATGGTTTTATGGCCGCTTGTTGGGGAATTTTACGTCCAGCCGTCCATGTGGTGTTACGAGAATGGGCTACCTCCGCATAGGGAGAACTGTAATGGGGCTGATTGGGAAATGTTTGTATGGTGGCATTGGATAACTTCGGATAACCATGAATCAGGGGAAGGGGTGTAGTTGTTTTGGGAGGTGCAGGAATTTGGGGTTTTTGTTCAGAAGCAGTGGGTATGTCATTTCTTGGGGTACTAGGTGGTTGTAGACCCCCGTACAAATTTGATTCTTTGACAACAGTTAGGACTTTACGGGAACCCGAAGGTGCGGGTTCCAATTGATTATTATCATAACCTGGCCATATTACACCTGGGTAGTTGTCAACATTTATTGTTGTAACAACATGATCGCTGTCGGTCAGAGGTCTTTGTCCCTCCTCATCAGTGGGATTGTAATTGGGTGGCATAAGATGTGTTATAGGAACATCAACACCAGGACTTAATGGTATGGGTGTAGTGGGAGTTTTACTTTGTGGTAAAGGATATCGAGAACCTTGTGGTTCTTTTCTAAACGGAGGCATTAATGTATCTAGCGGTTGTCTAGGTGTCTCCTCCAATGGAGGCATTAAATGAGTAATGATCGGTACTTGAGGGTAGTTATTAGGAATAATTGGAGTCCAAGTATTTCCGGGCGCTACAAAATGAATGGTTCGGGTGAAATTTTCACGATTTAAATTTGGTGGCAATGGATACGGATGATGGACATTCTGAGGTATGGGATATTGGGCATGAGGTTGACTATTGCCAAAGACCTCTTCGGAGGCCTCTTGTGATCCAATGGGCTGAGCATAGACCACAGTCGATGTGGTACTCGTTCCACTTCCTGGTAATGGTGCTAATGGTGTTTTATAAGTATGTTGATTATAATTACGGTCGGGTCGCAGGGATCCTTCTTCATAGATGACGGTATGTGTGGGTGACTGTTGGTCAACGTTTATGGCAGTGCCAGACCATACGTTTGTCGTAACAGGTTTATTGGGCATTGGTTGCCAGCTATTTGAATGCTGATCATAAGTGGAACCATGTGGTCGGGGTACATTCATACTGGTCCAACGATCTCCACCATGTGTCTGATGTGTTGTTGTTGTGTGTGTTTGTTGATGGTTATATGTTTGTGTGGGCGGTTGGTATTGTGTCACGGTTGTTTGTGACCATTGGCCGTTGTTGTTGGTGTTACCAGTGCCATAGCTGTTGGAAGCTTGATTGTTGTAACCTGAGAAGGGAAAAGAAATTGAAGTCAGATTTTTAAAAATATTAAATTGGTTTATTCAGATTTTGGATATATTGTGGAAGCTATCGATGTACTATCGATCATGGAATTCATAAAATAATAATGCCATAACATTTAGTCTGTATAAATATATATAAAGCAATCTCCATTTTTGGTATTTCTAACGTTTTAACCGTTCATACAACCCATGAGGCTATAATTTTGGATTTCGGGTTCTTGGAGGATGAAAAACATATTTCCGAAAATGGTCAATATATACTTTTTTGCAATGTCCCTTTTAAAGTCCCGCCCCATTTTCGATATTTTAAAAATGTTAGCAGTTTTTTCAGCCGATGCGGGTGTAGCTTGACATTCCGGGTTCTTGTGTGGCAAAACATTTATTCTTGGAACATTTTTAATATAGGTCCATATTTTATTTTGGACCTCCCCACAAATTTTGATTATTTTTGGGGAGGTATCAGAAAGAGTAGACCAACGGGTTCCATCATCGTACTGGTCTAGACTTGGCCAAGATAATAGGATGTGCAAATTTTGGTTTAAATCGTGGATTCCTTTCGCCTAATAATCCATTCAAATATATTGAAAAGTTTGACGATTTGTGGGGGAGGTACCAGAAGGAGTGAACCAATGAGTCCCATCTTCGGACTTGATCTAGGCTTGGTAAAGAAAATAGGTTTTGTTTGGTTTAAATCGGACATTCCTTTCGCTTTAATATTCAATTTATAAATATTGAAAATGTTGACCATTTGTGGGAGAGGTACCAGAAGGAGTGAACTAATGAGTCCAATCATCGGACTTGATCTAGATTTGGTCAAGATAATAGCATAGACATAAGAAGGAGTGGACCAATTGGTCCCATTTTTCGGCATGATCCAGGCTTGGTAAAAATAATAGGTTGTACAAAGATTGGTTCAAATCGGATAGTTCGCATGATATTACAAAATTAATTGTTTGCACAATTTTGACTTTTTTTTGGGGGACGTACCAGAAGGAGTGGACCGATATTCTCCATCTTCGAACTGGAACTATACTTGGGAGAAATATTAATGTCCAAAGTTTGGACGAAATCGGTTAATTCCTTCGAGAGTTATCGTGCGCACCAGCCGGCCAGCCAGACGGATGGACATTTGTAAATCGACTCAGAATTTTCTGAAACGGATTGGCCTTAAGGCTGGGGGTATAAAAGTACAATATAAGGGTATTGACCGATTTGGGATTTCTAATTTCCAGGTCATTATGGAGGGTATGAATAGTGTAGCTTGACCGAACTTAATACCGTTTTTTTGTATTTCATGTTTAGTGCTTCTTTTTCACTATTGGGTGGTTTAGACTTTGATATATCCTGCACATAACGGGAACGACCATTATGGGCCATTTTAATATATTTTAGGCCGCATTTTTTGACCTCCTGCATCGGAATTTGTATACTATTCCGCCAAGATAATAGGATGTGCAAATTTAAGTTTAAATCGTGCATTCCTTTCGCCTAATAATCCATTCAAATATATTGAAAAGTTTGACGATTTGTGGGGGAGGTACCAGAAGGAGTGAACCAATGACCTCCTGCATCGGAATTTGTATACTATTCCGCTATAATATTGATTTCGTATTCTCAAAGATCACGAAACCTCATTAGAAAAAATATACTCCAAATGCAGCAGTGGGTTTTTATACTGCCTCACTATCAATCTAGACCTTTTGAATATTACAGGAATTTTAATAAGTTCCGCCCTGTCGAGCAGAACAACCTGTGTACATTATTTTCTCTCTTCTCTTCAGTATTTTATCTCCTCCTATTTCCTCACCTTGTGTATGTGTATAATCATAATTGCTATTATAAACACCATTATTACAGCGATCCGTATTGCCAACATTTCTCTCGAGATCGCACACCTTACGGCTGACACTGAACACAGTACCGGGACCACAGTCCATAATGTGGGTGTAGCCATTGGTGCAGCTTAAATATTTATGCCAGTCATAGGGATGCATGAAGAGACCCTCGGCGCCAGGTGGGCAAACCACTTCAGCTGTAAAATAAAATCAAAATGAAAATAAATTCTGGAACTAATCACCCTCAAATTCCCACTTACGTTGTTGTTTCACCGCGGTGTTGCTTGTCGTTGTTGTTGTCGACGTCGCCGTTCCCTGCCCTGCCGAACAATTTACCTTATCCATAAAATCACAAACTTCCATTGCTCGATTCCAGGCGGTACCGGGACCACAACTTTGTATGTGGGCAACACCATTCGAACACATTACAAATTTGGTGCAATCATAGGGATGGGGATAACGTCCATTGGCATTGGGTGAGGGACAACTAACATCGCCAGTTGCAGGAATATAGTGTGTAACGGTATTATAATTATTATTATTGTAATTGTTATTCGTTGTTGTTGTCGTGTGTGAAGTTGTTGCACTTCCTCCAGCTCCCCCGTAATGCGATTGTCCTTGAGTTTGTGTATTCACATATGAACTACGATCATACTGGGAAACAGCTTGTTCATTGTAGCATGAACTTCTTTCGATGCTGAACACCTGTCCGGCTGGACAATTTTCCACAGCAATGCGACCATTGGCACAACGCATAAATTTATGACAGTCCTGAGGATGTGGATATATACCAAATGTTCCGGGGCCACAACTGATACCCAAGTCACGATCTGAAAATATGGAAAAGTTTTTTGTTTAATTTTTTGATTTAAGTTGATATCTAGAAGAGTTTAAATCCATTCATTGCGGAAGGTAAATAGTAAAAAAATAAGACCTAATATATGCCAGCATAGTGTGTTACGGTACTAATAAGGAAAATGCGAATATTTATCATCAAAAATGAATTCATTGTTTTTCGAAAATTTATATACTTCTCCAAGCGCTAGAACCAAATGTCGAACCACTTATTCCTCATCGATAGAGACACCTCCAAAATAAGGACTTTGGGTGCATCTGCTACAGGCGATAAAAATCGTTGACCATGAACATTTTTCTCGATGTCAGGGCCGCTCAAAAAAATAATAGTTTGTGAGGGCTGGATTTTTTCGATTTCTTCGAAGACTTCTGGTAAACAACTCTATATTGATCGTTCTGCATTGCTGAAGGGTAACAGTCGCCATATGACAATTTTTGCCAAAGAAACACACGACCATTAGCTTCGAAGTGATTCTTTCTCGAAGAACTACCGTTTAGGGCTCACAAAACTACAGTCACGATTCTTCACATGTAACCATCTTGGAAATGTTTATTGAGGCATCGTCCGGGTGACTGCATCTGTATGATTGTTATTCAGAGCTGCCTCATAGGCCTGTTGTCTAAAGGTTCATGTTTGTACCTTTGTATCCCTCTTTCAAGATCATAACAAGACAGCTGACCCCTATCCATAATAGGGACAAATAGTCGAGCGCAAAAGTCAACTTATAGACTTTTTGGTTTTTGCCTCTGACCAAAATGTCGATTTTTAGACTTTTCGACTTTTGCCTTTGACCAAAAAAGTCGACTTTTCGATTTTGTCAAACCTGTTCAAACTCGAATGCGCAATTTTAGGGCAAATTGAGCTTTGTGGTAATAAACCAAGTATTTATGAAGAAAATCGAAAGTTGATCTCGAAAAGTCGACTTTGTGATTTAGATTTTTCAATAAAAAAGTCGATTTATCGATTAGACGAAAGTCGATTTACCTAATCCATATTCCTATGGAAAGGGAATTCCCCAATGTTCTTCCAGTTCGTAGGGCCTCAGCTTATTGCGAATAGCAGCGGCTTTTCCAGACAACTTAAAACGGCTGTCGAACGTTCCATCCAATATCCTAGGGTAATTGGTGGTCGGAATCTGTTCTCCATTGACCATTGAGTTCAGAAGGACGAAGTTTGACAAGTTCATTGGCTAATACCGTTGCCTCTGCTTGAAAGTCTGGTCCAATAGGGATATCGAAAATTACTCTCAGTTTTCCCATTATTCGGGAAAGTACGGCAAGTACGGTATGGATACATTGCTGGGGGCATCCTTATTCACCGTGGGGACATCCTCATTCAGAACTCGTATTTAGTAGCCATTGTACCCATGGTTCTGTTTATATTCTTCTCTGGATGGCGCTATCTTCTGCCATTCCCAATGTTGCCATGCTTGATTATTATAATGTTAGCAGTTCTCGAATGCATTTCATCTGGAGGGAGATGTATGCCTCTTTTTAAAAATATTCAAAAATGTTTCTAAAAAATTTGTCCTCCTTCACTAGAATTCGAACTAGGGACCAATCGGGACTTTTTAAATGTGAAATTCGAAAAAGGGCATTCCTTAACCATTGTGTTTACTTCAGCACTAGCCAGTTTTAGGTGTCATCTATCGTTGCATAGAAACAACGTTTCCTTGAATTTAGTATTGGTTTTGGTCCGAGCTTAGTGTTGTCATTCTCCTCTGGTTGGCACGATATGCTTTTATTCCTATTTGGTGTTAACCTCACGTCTTGATTCCTAGCTTTATTATTATAATGTTAAGAGGTTTCGTTTTTAAAGAAGCATTCGTGCGCGGAACCCACCCAAATTTTCTAAAATGTTCCAGCAACCCTTCCCCACTTATTTTCAAATAGACATGGGAATTTCCAAAACCTTTATTGTCCATTTAAAATATGTATTTTAGACTTACTTGCTTGCAGGACATGTTCATTGGAGAATTCATGTTGTGTTGTTGTCAAATATTCCACTCGATCATAGGCCTCTACTTTGTCACGAGGTATACACTCCTTGCGGGATATACTAAAAACGGCACCACTTGCACAAGTGTCAATGTTGGTTGCTCCATTGGAACACTCAATATACTTGGTGCAATCGAATGGATGTAGGAAAATTCCACTCAGGCCGGGCGGACACATTAGATAAATTAAGCCATCAACTAAGCAAAAATTTTTTTAAATTATTTATAGAAAGTGAATTAAAGAAATTATCCACTCACTTGAACCATAAGTTATTTCCATATCCGAAATATGCCATTCCTGACCATAAGACGCTTCAATTTGTGGTACACGATCCCGCCGTTCAAGCTCTTCTTTCATTACACATTGTTTGCGAGACAAACTGAAAGCTTTACCCGATGCACATGATTCGGATATCATACGACCTGCACGGCAGGTTATATATTTCGAACTATCAAATGGATGAGGATAATCGCCGGACAGACCAACTGGACAATAGACCATAGTATGAACATCGAAATGTTCTTCAATATTACGATACGAATTCACCTTCTCCAATTCATTCAACAGACGAACTCTTTCGGTTTTCAAAACCTGACTGCGTGGCAAACACATACGCCGTGTGGTACTAAAGACCTGGGATGGACCACAGCCGATAACTTCCATTTGACTGTGTACACATTTGATATATTTCTCCGCGTTGAAGGGATACAAATGGATACCCTCAGTGCCGGGTGGGCAGGTGATGAGGGTTTGGGCTGGAACGAAATTTAAGTTTAGCGAAGTTTCCTCTAAAATTCCCAAATTTTCCGACTTACCATATTCATAGCTAACTTCCGACACAATAGACAAGACGTGATCTATTTTTTGTATTTGATCCAATGACTCACAGTATCCCTTCGAAATACTAAATGCTGTGCCTTGGACACAATTCTGTATGGCCGTATTGCCATTTTTACAATTAATAAATTTCGTATAATCGAAGGGATAGGGGAAGAGACCGGTAATGCTATTCAAACATAAAATATCACTTGTGTGTGGCAAATCATTGTGACCACCAACACTACCACTTGTGTTCGGAGGAGGGAGAGGAGTGTGCTGGGTATCTGTGGGGGAAAGGAGAAACAAATAAAAATTGATTTTTGTTGAAAATGCATTGAATATTTTTGGCGGATTTATAAAAAGCGAATGCAAAAATTAGCACAGATAAAGCAATTAACAAGCATATCAAATATTTACATACGTGTATTATTAACGTTTTACTTTTTGGTATTAAAATCATTCATTTGGTATTAAAATCGGAATATAAGGGCCTATATTTCCGAATAGGAACAAAATAATGAAACTACTAAAACTTCGATATTTTTAAGTTTTCAATTCCATCCTTAAAAAGTTAGATGTTTTTTAGATAGTATTGGGGTCCTTCCAAAAAATTATCAATATTGGTATACTTACAATGCCACATAGCACTCCTATTACTGTACATATACATTTTTCTATTTTTTCGGTATTTTCCAACTGAGTTTCCTTTAGTTCGTCGTACTGATTCCTAATGGGTGAAATGTGGACTTTGAAAAAAATCACATAGTAATTGTATGGGCTTTAATTTTTTCTTTTTTAAACATAACCCTCTTCATAATATACTCCATATACCCACAAAACTCATATATTATATGTTCAGAATTTTATGAATGTTCTGTATTGTATGAATGCAATTCATAAAACTTTAAATACAGGTTTCTTCTCAGAGAAAGAGAGAGAGAGAAAAGAAAACATATTTGGACTGTATTGGGTTTTCGGTGTTTTTTCTATGACACAGAAACTTTCTGTAGTTTTTTTTTACATTTTGTTTTTTTTTTGACAACCATATTCGCATCCTAAGTCGCAATTAGAACAATCATCAAATATAAAAATTTTAAACCCTCGGCAGGTCATTTTGCTCGTATCAACGATTATTTGACATATTATATCCGGTATTTATTCCGAAATAATTTGGAAAATTCATATGCGAAGTTTATAATAGCAATGCAGTGTATGAAATAAACAAACAATGTAAGCAAGAGGAACAATAGCCAAACATGCGGTTACAAAACTAACAACAACCAAGTGGATTGTCAATGTCAAAATAAAATGCAGCCGAAGTGTGATTGGTGGTGTTTTTTTTTTTTTTCTTTCTTTTTTTTGGGAAATTCATTCGAGAGAATGGCAAAAAAGATTTAACTCAAATAGTGGAAAAGTAAGACGAAGAAAGAAAAAAGTTTTGATATTAATGAAACTTTGACATATTTTTGAAAAATGGAGAGCTTTTACGATTATAAGAAATTTTACTCGAAATCTAAATGAGGTACATGGACAATATGAAAAAAATAAAGTATGAATAGAATTATTATTCATCAATTTTTTTCTGTGTAAACACAAAGTGTATATAAAATTCTACGTCGATTTCTGTCGAAATCACGATAGAGATTGCAAAATTCATTCATATTATTCCCAGGGTGTTTGATATCAAAATTTGGATTTTGTTATAATTCCCATATAACGGTACCGTCTATTTTCCGTTTCAGTCGCATAGTCCATGCTTTCATGTTTGGTGGATTTTATGCTCATTTTTTTCGCAGAAAATAGTCAACATAGGACCATATCCCAAATATAAAGGTCCCGCCCCATTTCAAGCATTTTCATAGTCCTAGGCAAATTTTCCAATCGCAGTGATTCATGCTTTGTTATAGTTCCCATTTCTGGCATTTAAAAAGTTCAATCCGAGTTTTGCCATTCCGTGCTCTTGAATAAAAAATATTCTTGAAGACTCCCATATGTAAACTTTCCGTCCTATTTTAGATATTGTGATTGTCCTGGGAGCACTTCCCACTTTTCAAATTGGTTGTAATTTGGTGTTCAGGGTTTTTCGTCTGTAAATTATTTCTTTATTTCTTTCTATTTCATCGAAGAAAAAGTTCGCTTTTGGTCCATGTTTTAGTCCTCATATAAAGGTCTCGCCTCTTTCTAGGCATTTTCCAACCGTACCGAATATATATGTTGCAAATTGATTGACAAATTTTATGATGGAGGATATAAAAATTCTATATCGAATGTAGCATGGAAGGGCAAATCTTTCTGCGGAACCAAATCCAGGGCCTAACTAAATACGACTATTAGCCTGTACAACTTTCTTCAATTTATTACAATGTATATATCGGTATATTATCGGTATACCAAATAGTGGCGAACTTTGGTTCCTCAAACGTTTTATAAAAAATATATATTTTTTTTAAATATTAATCATTTGTGGAAGAGGTCTATGAGAAAGAATGAGATTGCGATGTGCGGTTGGTCCCTTGCAGGGTTCTAGTGCATATTACTCAACCGAGCAGGCAGTAATTTATAAATCGATTCAAAATTATCTGAAACAGATTGGGTCCAAGGACACTTACATCCTAAGTGTCGGCATTTCAAAGAAGACCAGTTTTAACATTAAGGCGAAGAGGGGTCCCCTTACCCCTTCATTCTCGATTTAAAATGTTTATGATTTTCAACTTTTTATATAAGCACTTGAGGACTTAAAGGACAAGGAAAAGAATTGACATATTTTATTGTTTTCGTTTTGTAGCTTTTTTTATTTAACTGCATCGCCCGATTCTAAAAATTCCAACGACATTCGACATTTGGATTAATAGTTTTTGAGTTATCTTGCCCGCCAATTGTTAAAACCCTGTTTCGAGAAAAACGCTTAAAATCTTGAACCAATCGAGACCCCCAAAATCTTGAAGCTTGTGATGGTGGAAGAAAATCCCTAGCTGGGTTTTGCATTATTAGCTAAGGTTTTTTTTTTAAATTCATTTTTAAAATATTCGACTGGGGCGGATTTTAGCACAATTTTTGAATAATACGTACTTATTATTGAGTCTATATCTCGTGAACTATTCGAAATATTGCTTTTCTCTCTTAAGCAATATTTTTCCTCTTAATTAGATCTAAAAATTTTCTCTTGAGATAAAACCAATAAAACAACACCATCATACTGAAAATAGCACAACTGCAAAAAATTAAAATTTAGACATACTTTTTCCATGTTTTTCACACTTTTTTCAGAAACTGCTACTGACTCGGCCAAACAGTATATGACAAGAAGATAGCCAATAGCAAATCAAACAACTTTTCTTAAAACCCCGATTTCATTGGTTGACTCCTTCACATAGTTATAGCCTCACAAATTCATCAAGATGAACCAAAGAAATTCACTCCCAATTGTATGTTTATAGAAATAAAAATTGCTATGCTTTTTTCAATAAATAGGTACAAAATTGAAGTAAAAATTAAACATGGAAAAAGTATGTCGAAATTTTAATTTTTTTGCAGTTGTGCTATTTTCAGTATGATGGTGTTGTTTCATTGATTTTATCTCAAGAGAAAATTTTTAGATCTAATTAAGAGGAAAAATATTGCTTAAGAGAGAAAAGCAATATTTCAAATAGTTCACGAGATATAGACTCAATAATACGTACGTATTATTTGAAAATTGTGCTAATTTTAAAAATTAATTTAAAAAAAAACCTTAGCTAATAATGCTAAACCCAGCTAGGGATTTTCTTCCACCATCACAAGCTTCAAGATTTTGGGGGTCTCGATTGGTTCAAGATTTTAGTGCTGCACAGTGTTATTAATATTCATCATAACGTGTCGTCTCGAAATTGATTCAGTCTTCTTTGTGGTTTTAGATATTTCTTATATACTTCTTCATGAAAATTGTAAGGTGTTAACACTGGAATACTTATGTTCATATACACATAAATATTTCGTTATATACAATGGAAGCGGATGATATAAAGCATTAGTGACATCTCAAGCAATGAGAAAATAAAGCATTATGAAAAAGCAACAACGCACATATACATATATACAAAAATATTAATCATCTTCATCAACTCACGACCATGCTGCTGCACTGTGGTCGTCACATCCGTGTGTATACCCCAAATACTACCTGAACCGCAATGAACTTTTTCTTTGTAATCACAAACCAAACGTAGACTATCAAAACCGGTACCGGGACCACAATTTTGTATAAATGTTTGACCATTCGAACACTGTAGGAATTTTTCACAATCTTGAGGATGAGGATATAAACCATTAGCACCAGGGGCACACTGAACATTTTCATCGGCAGCTTCATATTCCGTGACCACGAGTGTTGAGCCCCATGAACTTCCCGGCACACAGTGTATCTTTTCTTTATAGTCACAAACTTTAAGGTTACTATCGAAACCGGTACCGGGACCACAATCCTGTATGTAGGTTATGCCATTGGCACATTGTAGGAATTTGGTACAATCATAGGGATGGGGATAGAGGCCAGAGGCTCCGGCAGGACATTTAACTTGGGATTTATCTACTTTACCTATTATTTTGAAGAATTGTTACAATAATAGAGGTTTAAATATGAGGACAGGGGAGGGAAAATGAGTTCGGTGAAAATAATTCTCTTTTCAATTTACCTTGAACATGGCTATGAACCTCAGCCGTTCCACCGCGTCCTGTACAATCCACCTTGTCCTTGAAATCACAAACTTTCATTGGTATGCTAAAAGCCGTTCCAGGACCACATTCCTGTACGTGGACATTACCATTGGCACAATTTATAAATTTTGTACAATCAGCCGGATGTGGTTCTAAGCCTTGCGAACCAGATGGACACAACATATCTACACTTTCGGTGGCATCATCAATATAACGACCCGCCCTCTGAGTCGACTGTGCCAGCTGACCATGTGTAGTTTTGGTGGCAGTGTAGGATCCCGTCAAACCGGCACCACATTTCACTTTATCAGGGCGATCGCATTCCAGTGTCTCAGGATTGAAAACAGTACCCACCGAACATGATTGAATATGGCCACGACCTTTCCAACAATTCAGAAAACGTCTACAATCATAGGCATAGGGTAATTGTCCGGTATGTCCCGACGGACAACCCGTATAATAATCGGTAATATCATTTTCCGATTGTTGTATGCGACCGGATGTTTGGTGGGTTGTCTCACGTGTTGTAGAGGTTCGTTCATAAATAGGTTGAGGCTGTTGATGTTGATGCTGCTGATGATTATGATGTTGATAATGATAACTACCTTCATGCCGTGGCTGCTGGTGATATGAATTGTCATTGGAGCTATGCGCCGACGACGATGATGACGACGTTGACCATTGTGGCGATGATCCCCGACTTTGATGTGTTATTGTCATCTGATAATCGTTATCGTTGCCATTACTGCCCAGATTATTGGGATTATGTGTGTGGTGATATTCACCGCTTACGGGAACATACTGATGCGTTCGATGTCGGGTTGTATATGTTTGTGTTGTAATCTGAGGATCAGAGGTATATACAGTTGTCTTCACGCCAGAGCTGTAGGTCTGAAAGAGTAAAAAAAGACGAAATTGAAAAAAATGAAAATGCATATAATGTATAAAGTTAGTGAAAACATAAAAAAATCTGAAATACTACTAGTGAGAAAATAAAAAAAATCGGACAGAACTGGAACTACGTAGTTTTTTCAATACGAACCTAGATGCAAAATTTCATGACGATTAGTCTATAAGTATTACATTACAATATACACACACGGGCAGACGGTCAATCGGTTTGTTAAAGGGTGGATCTGGATCTTGGCAACAGGCCTCACAACAAAATTGTGTAGGGTATAAATAAGGTTTATCTTGGAAACTATTGAACTTTCCGGTTGTTATAACAAACGTCTTCAAACCCATATTATCTGAAGTTATACGTTCTTGCATTGGTTGCTGTGGAAGCCTTTGGCAGAGTTATTCCGGTGCATAGAAGCAGCGGCCGTGATATTGATAGGCGTGCATTATTGCACCCCTCTGTACAGTACAGGCCTATCTCGCTTCATTTAAACTCTAGTGACACTAAGTGCATGGGGCTAGCATTTAGGAGTACCCTTCCCCATTCTCGATTTCGACGGGCATTATTTCCGATCATTGGAACGTCCAATTCCAAAAATTACAACGTCGTTTTAAATAGTACACAAAGTTAACAATTTGGCACACATGTAAAATTAAATTGTATGAAAAATTCCCAATTTTCGACCACAAACCCAGTTAGAATATAAGGAATCTATTGACCGATTGCATTTATCATACGATAGCTATATATATACAGAATACGCGTTTAAAGTTTGAGAAACACTTCCGAAAATTTCAAGGGACATTCTTGATTAATTTTTTTTAAAAGCGAGAATGGGGATATCCCCTTAGGTGGGGAACTGTCGAGGTAGAAGATATGCTTAATGTGTACATTCCGAAAATTCGTCCACTTTTAAATAGTAATAAGAACCTGGTACTAGGGGATTTCAATCCACCCGAAGAAAGCAAGACGTTACTTCAGATGGAGAACAGATTCCGATCAGGCCGCTTATACTTGCGGTACAAATCCCGAAGTAAGACCAATCTTCCCAGCAGAAGCGACAGTATTGAACGATGGTCGTGACGAGCTTCGTCGTACTGAACATAATGATCGATGGAGAACATATTCCGACCACCAATTAATTACTCCCATATATCGGATGTAACTTTCAAAAAGTTTTCCATCATGCAGTGCCTTGCCCTGCGATACGCTGAGAAGTTGGAAAAATTATGGTCAGCAGGGAAATATTTTTGATCTCTTATAAAGTAATAGGCAGGACAGTGATAAGCTATGCGCTGCCAGTGTGGTTTGCGAATATATGTGGTACGCACTGAAAGAATATTCAGGCCTGCCACAATGCCGCCGAATGAAATAAAAAGAGTGTCTCCTCATGACACCAATGAAATATATTCATACCAAATGTGCAGCACCTACTTGAGTTTTATCGCCGGGAACACACCTACCATAGCATTATGAACATGTTTCCCATGCCCTGAAATATGTTCGTGATCTACAGAGAGAGAGGTCCAAAGACACAAGCGTGAACCTCTAAATCAAATCTGAATAGCATTCACACAGATGCAACAATACCGCATGAATGCTATACTCGTAAACAATTCACCATATAGAGCAGCAGAAGAGAAGCAGCGAGTCGTCTTCGAGCAGCTAAGGAGGGAATGGTGCAATCACTAGACACCAATTGATGGTTCGATACCTAACACATGCCCAGGATGTGGGCTACAATAACACGACACTGTTGTACCCATTCAACTTTCCTTCTGGTACTTCCCCCACAAAATGGTCAAAATTGTGCCAAAAAGTAAATTTATAATATCATGCAAACGGATATATATCTGATTTGCACCAAACTTTGTACAACATATTAAATGAAGTCTGAAGATCGGACCCATTGGTCCATTCCTTCTGGTATCTCCCCCACAAAAAGTGTCAACATTTTAAATATTTATAAATCCGATATTAGGTGAAAGTAATGTCCAATTTGAAACAAACATTGCAAAATGTAGTATCTTTACAAATCCTAGGTCCTGTGTGTACTTCTGAAGACCTCCGCAAACCATAGGCTGAGGGTATATATCTGTCGGCAACACCGACTGACACTTTTAACAGTTTTTTTTTACATTTTGATTTGCTACCATATTATCAATATCGATTTAGAAATTTGAATGTTCACCTCATAGTCGAGGGTATACAAAGTTCGACCCGGCCGAACTTAACGAACTTTTTACTTGTTATAAGGTTTGTATACCAGATTGGTAATTTTGTATACCAGATTCTTCGAGGTTGACATACATACAGAAAATCAGCAATACAGGTTCTTGTTTTGATATAGTCCTATATGAAGGTTTCACCAATACGCATGACATATAGTCCCCATAGAAAGAAACCGCCAATTTTCTGCATTTTAAGGGCTTAAGACGCATTTCCAAACAGAAAAGGATATAATATGTCATTTCGGGTTTTTTGGAGGCGTAGAAAATAATCGTATTATGTCCATTATTTGACATAGTTCAAATAAAAATCCAGCCCAATTTAAATAGACACTAATAGTACGTTTACATTTAACCGGATTTCGTTAACCCAGTGGGTTTCAATTGTCAATTCCTTTGCATATATTTCAAATAAATCCTCATAAAGTAGGTTAACCCGGTAAAAAGTTCTAATGTATATGCCGTTTAAAAAGGTTTTTTGGCTTTTTCGGGTTTAGAAGCTGACACACATGTGCGAAAAAAAATATAGTTCCTATTTAAAGGTCCCGCCAATTTTCAGTATTTTAAGTGTTAACCCACACTTCTCAACCGAAAAAGTCTTTTACATACATATGCGTATAAAATTATTATAGGACCATATTTAGACATAGCCCCTATATATAAGTTCCGCACAATTTTTGGCATTTTGAGGGTTTAAGCGGCATTTCCCAACCGAAAAGGCAGTACATTGGCATTTCAGAGATTTGGAAGTTGGCAGATGGAACCGATGATGGATATGGACATGGATGATGGACATGTATCATAAAAGTCCAGTCCAATTTACGATAGTTAGAGGCTTGTAACCACAATTTCCAACTTTACATAGATAGCAAATATTTGAAGTTTAACGTAGAGATCGCCTTTTGGAACACACCCCATAAAATGATTTTACATAAATACCCCATGGTCTTATTTTAGATAGTTTGATGGTCCTAGTTGTATTTTCCAACCCATTTCCGATAATATCATATTGATATTACTCAAACCCACTATTTCATATATGGATCTTTGACCTAGATCAATATATAAAATTAGAGGCATTTTAAGTACTTTAATGATCTCACGGGCGTTTTCTACGGATTTTTAGTAAGTAAAGACATCTTCGCCTATATAAACGGTTCTTGGCCAATTTCAGGAATTTTGAATGGTGGACAGAATAATAAGGTCGACTAGCCATACTTAATGACATGTTTACTTGTTTATTATTAATTTTTCTTATGTTTTCATTATCAACAAAAGGGCAAGCAACCAAGCCCTTGCAACATAAATAGTTTACACATTTCCGATTACGCAGTACAAAACATAAGAATTTCTTTGTCATTGCTTTAGCACGAAATGACTCATATAGAAATTTCTAATTGGATTTCTTGAACAAAAATAAAAAAAAAACAGAACCGCTACAAAACAATTGAACAAACACAACACAACAAATGGAATCGAAGACATCACCATCAATTCAACGTGATCAGGAAGAATTTGTGCCACAAAAAAACCCAATTTCCAATTAGTACTACTATTGAGACAGATAGGAGGTAGCTGGGAAAAACAAGGGTATTCATTTGAGCAAATAATCGCAAAATATTGTTTTTTTTTCAACAGACTATGGGCAATTAGATCGCATATTGCTTTATAAAGACGACAACATCAACAACAATATCAATTTTTTTCATTTGCAAAAATCATAAATTCCGATCCGACTAGAAGCCAATGTTATCAATTTTAAATGATCTTCCAAGTGTTATCATCGACAATTTCTAATGAATTTTGCAATGGAAATAGATGGACACGAACACACATACACACGAATTGACATATAAATGGACTTGTTTGTATTTTAAATCGAAATAAAATGGATTTTATAAACACAAATAAATATCCTTTTTATATAGATATATATTTTTCAAATACTAACCGCATTTACTCCACAATTTAACAGCAAGTTACCCCATAACACCAACGTCACAAAAGTCCACTTCATTTTTTTGGAATTTACATTCCACATTTTTACAAATATTTGTTTGTTTTTCGAATAGTATTTCTATATATTTTTCGTAAACCACAATAATTAAAAATATTTCCTTTTTTGTAAAAAAAGTCACTTTCTTGTTTAGTTTCGTAGGGACCACCGAACCGCTGCCACCGAATGGCAAATAAGATTTAAATTCTCTTTATCATCTCATCCAGCGGAAAAGTAGCATTTCACCCAAGTACAGTGAGCGAGGAGAGGCTCACACTAACTGATAATATAATTCTTTGGAAGTGAGTGCGGCGGATTTGGGTAAGAGTAGAAGAGAGAAAAAATATTTAAATGACTGTCTCCGACAAAAATAAAAGATTATCAACAAAGATTCCAAAAATTATTTAACATTAAAAACACTCAGGCCCCGATTTATTTGGATTAAGTCCATTATAAATTTTATTTTTTATATAGAAACGCTCCTCCTGCACATGAAATCATTCTTAAAAAGTTGACACTTTTATATCAGAATGTTTTTGAAACCCCCATCTGGATATTTATATGGGGCTATGTCAAAACATGGATCAATTATTATAATTTTGTGGAAATGTATTTTTACTCTCCCCAAAAAAAAACCTGAAATGTCCAATAAAACCTTCAAGATCCCGAAACTGTGGCTATTCCAATCATTCAATGTTTTTACTTTTTAGTAGGAAAATTTGACACTCAACAAACCAAAATATCAAATTTCGTTAGAAAACCTACTTACCCGGATAATCCTAGCCTCAAAATACATATTTTTGTTGTTTAAAGATTCCGGCGGAAAATTCTATAGAATGTGGAGGTCTACGGAATTACATACAGGTTTTGTTGTTTTTATTCAGAGCTACCAAAGAATGTTCCCATCTTCGGACTTGATCTAGGTTTGGTAAAATATTTCAATTTGCAAAATTTGGATCAAATCGAACATTCAATTCGCTTGTTATTGGATTAAAAATTTTGGTACTGGGTGGGAGGTACCAGAAGGAGTAGACCGACGGATCCCATCTTCGGATATAAACTAAGTACTGTAAAAATATAGCATTGTGTAAAGTTTCGATGAAATTAGATACTCAGTTCGCTTCATATGATATGTACAACTTTTCAAAATGTTTACCCTTTGTGGGAGAGGTACTAGATGGAGTGGAATGCAAACTCCCATTTGTCAACATTATAAACTCATGGGTAGGACATAATCTAAGTACGGTAAAAATATTACGTTGTCTAAAGTTTGGATCAAATTGGATATTCGGTTCGCTTCATATGATATGTATAAGTTTTCAAAATGTCGATTCTTTGTTTGGGAGGTACTAGAAAGATTGAGCCGATAAATCCCATATTTCTACATTATTACTAACTTACTTAGCTGGCTTGTTACAGAACGGTTGTTCCATAAGATGTTGTTTTCTACTTGGTTTTTCCATCTAATTCGTGGCTTTCCCCCTCTACGGGAACCATCAGTAGGCTCATTTTTATATGCCTTTTGAGCTGGGGCATCTTCATTCATTCGCACAACATGGCCTAGCCACCGTAGTCGCTGCAGCTCAATATGACTGACTATGTCGATGTCCGCGTATAAATTGTAGAGCTCGTGGTTCATTCGACGCCGATATTCATCGTCGACGCAGATCGGCCCATAGATCTTTCGGAGATTTTTTCTCTCAAACACCCCAAGCGCTGCCTCATCTGCTTGCGCAAGTACCCATGCTTCTGATCCATATAATAGCACGGGTAGTATCAGCGTCCTGTAAAGTGTGAGTTTGGTCTGGCGAGAGGTGGCCTTGTTTCTAAACTGCTTACTTAGACCATAGTAGCACCTGTTGGCCATCACAATCCTTCTCCGAATTTCAAAACTGATATTATTCGTTTTATTTATGGCGGTACCAAGGTATATAAATTCTTTAACTACCTCGAAGCTGTAGTTCTCAAGTTCCACAGTTGGTCCGAGTCTACTGGACGTCTTGCGCGTTGATACCATCAGCTTGGTCTTCTCGCCGTTTACTGCCAGACCCACTTTGGCAGACCCACTTTGTTTAAAGGTGGCTGTTACCGCTCGCAATGTTCGACCCATTATATCGATGTCATCGGCGTAGGCGAGTAACTGATGTTGTTTGGTGTACAGAGTGCCACTTAAAGTTATCCTGCATAGCCGTATTAATTTTGCAGGAATGCCGAACGCAGACATGGCTTTAAAAACCTCTGAACGGATAGGGCTGTCGAATGCGGCTTTATAGTCGACAAATAGGTGGTATGTGTCGATGTGTTTTTTGTGGGTCTTTTCCAGGATTTGGCGCAGAGTGAAAATCTGGTCAATGGTGGATTTGCCAGGTTTGAAGCCGCATTGGTATGGTCCGATGATGTCATTGACCATTGGCTTCAATCGTTCACACAGCACACTGGATAGCACTTTATATGCGATGGGGAGGAGGCTTATTCCTCTATAGTTGGCACATATCGTCTTGTCTCCTTTTTTTGTGCACGGGACACAGGATGCTGAGGTTCCAATCATTGGGCATGCATTCATCTAGCCAAAATTTGTTAATCAGCTGGTGCATGCTCCTGACCAGCATCTGGCCACCAGTCTTGAATAGTTCGGCTGGTAACCCATCGGCTCCTGCTGCTTTGTTGTTCTTGAGCCGATTAATTGCTTTTATGACCTCATCTTGGCTAGGTGGTATGCACTCTATACCATCATCTCTTATTGGTTCTGGGGTATCTTCTTCATCGCCACTATTTGATACTAGTAGCTTTTCGAAATGCTCCTTCCAGATCCTCAATACGCTGTCTGTATCTGTCACCAGGTTTCCTTCTTCATCTCTACAGGAGGATGTGCCTGCACCAAAGCCTTCGTTTTGGTGTTTTACTCGTTGGTAAAATTTCCGGACTTCATTCTGACTCCTGTACATCTTGATTTGCTCACGCTCACGTTTTTCTTGTTCTTTCTTCTTTTTTCTGAAAACACGTTTCTCCTCTCTCCTTTTCTCCCGATAATTCTCCATCACGTTACGTGTTGCTACTGTCTGCAGGGTTGCGTTTTTCACATCAGTATCATTACGACACTTCTGATCGTACCATGGGTTTCTTGGTGGTGGTTTTTGGTACCCAATTGTTCTTTTTGCTGCAGTTTGTAGGGAGTGGGCAATTCTTTGCCATTGTGCTTCTATACTATTATCGGGACAAGAAGTGCTTTCTTCAAGCAGATGTGTAAGTTGAGCGGAGTAGGCCTCGGCTACCTGTTGTGTTTGCAGCTTTTCGACGTCGAGTTTCCGTGTTGTATTAGATCGCACCTTTGCTGCAACATTAAGACGGGTACGTACCTTGGCTGCCACAAGGTAATGGTCCGAATCGATATTCGCTCCTCGGATCGATCGGACGTCTAAAACACTGGATGAATGCCTTCCGTCTATCACAACATGATCAATTTGATTTCTCATTACTTGATCAGGAGAAATCCAGGTGGTCTTGTGTATATCGAGATGCTTGAATCTGGTGCTGCTAACTACCATGTTTTTTGCTGCCGCGAAGTCAATCAACCTCATTCCGTTGTCGGATGTTTCTTCATGAAGGCTGAATTTTCCGACAGTGGGGCCAAAGATATTTTCCCTTCCGATTTTTGCATTAAAATCTCCTAGCAGCATTTTAATGTCATGGCCATATGCTGTTTCTAGGCGCTCGTAAAATATGTATTTGGTCTGTTCATCTTTTTCTTCGGTCGGAGCATGGGCGCAAATTAGACTGATGTAAAAGAACTTCGCTTTTATACGGATTATAGCAATTCGCTCATCTACTGGAGTGAATCTGGAGACAAGGTATTTTATTCTCCTGTTAACCATAAATCCGCAGCCAAATTCATGTCTCGTTTCATGGCAGCTATAATACAGGGTGTAATCGTCTGATTTACTTACGCCTGTCGCTTTCCATCGCATTTCCTGTAAGGCAATAATATCGGCTTTGTACTTCTTGAGTATATCCGCCAAAGCGAACACTGCCCCTGTTCTGTACAACGTGCACACATTCCAAGTGCAGATTCGCAGATCGTGGTCCTTTATACGTTTGCGGGGGTCGTCAACATTAGGGGGGTTTGGTTTTCTTTTTCTTTGCTTTTTCATAGTAGGTTGGGTTTTCCTAGAGTGGGCAACTAACCCGGCGCCTCAACCCATTTTTTTATAGTTCTTATGGGTGAACTCGCGGCACATGTTAGCTCACTATTTGATCGGGTGATGAGAATAGCTCCCCAGGTGGCACCGCGGGGAGGTCAGTGTCCACAATTGAGATGAAAGAGGGACCAAGATAAGCCTGGGCTTCGCCATGTTAAAGCCAATCAGAGCCGTTGCTTGGTATCTATCATCCCCTACGCCACCCTTCTACATTATATAGTCATGGTTATATTAGGCTGTGCAAAGTTCAGCTCAAATCGGATTTGCCGTTTGCATAAAGTTATAAAATTAATTTTCAGCAAAATTTTGATTATTTTGTGGGCCAATGACATAATCTAAGTACGGCAAAAATATTATTTTTGGCAAAGTTTCGATGAAATTGATATTCGGTTCGCTTCATATGATATGTTTTCAAAATGTTGGCCCTTTTTGGGGAGGTACTAGAAGGAGTGGGCCCACCTTTCAACATTATAATTGTGCAAAGTTTAGTTCAAACTGGATAGTCTGTTTGATATTATAAATATTATAAAATTCAGAAAATTTTGATTATTTGAGAGAAGTACCAGAAGGATTGGATCGTTATCCTCCATCTTCGAACTTGATCTAAGTTTGCAATAAATATTACGATATGCAAATTTTGAATGAAATTAGTTATCGTGTCTGAAACGGATAACTCATTAAGGCTGAGGGCAGGGCTGACTTTTAAATTTCATGAAAAATGGTACATTTTTCAGAAAAAAATTGGCATAATCGGCAGCGAATAATTTATAAATAAAGACATTTTTTTGTTTATAACGACAACCGTCCCATACTCAGTATTTTTAATTTTTTTTCCTGCATATACCAATAATAGGGGCTGTATTTTGTTTTGACACAGTCCTCATATAAAGGTCCTCCACATTTATAAGTAGGCATTTCGAAACAGCAAAAAATGCCTCTTTGTAGTGAATTTTCAATATAGTTTAATATTCTAACATTGTTCGAGCTTATTCTAGATGTTTCTGTTTTGATATAGTCCACACATAAAAATCCAGCCCGATTTGCAGTATATTACAAGTCCTAGATGTAGTTTTCCAATCTAAGTATTCGTAGTTTGGTATTTTGTTTTCTGAATCCTCTCAAACCTAAACCTTCATATAAGAGTCCCGATTGATTTTAGGTATTTTGAATATTTTCGTCCATAAAAAGTTTAGGCCAGCCGATCTTAACTTCTTTTCCTGTTCAGCTATTTTTATACCCTCCACAATAGTATGGAGAGTATATTAATATTGTCATTCCGTTTTCAACTCATTGAAATATTAATTTCCGACCCTATAAAGTATATATATTCTTGGTCAGGGTAAAATTCTAACCGATCCGTCTGTTGTAATCACGCCATCTTCTGAAGGTATTGAGATAGATTGCCAAAATTGTACATAAACTCGACTTTTGTCTACAGGCCAAGTTCGAAGATGGACCCTAAATAATTCCTACACTATGTAATCTAACATTGTAATCTAAATTGCAGTAGTTTGAGGATTGTATATTCTACCATGCCTTATTAGTATCAGCCCACTCTTTGGGGATTTCATTAAAAATTGCTGAATTTTGTATTTGGTGA